GCATGCTAATAATTTGGAATTACATTCTTATAATTTTATCAAAATTTTAAACTCAATTTCAATATATATATATTGGCTATGTATGGATTGAGTCACGTCTTTGAATAAAGGAGTAGCCCCTACTTACCTCTTATAATTTCATACTATCTCAAAAATTAAGAGATGTTCATTTGAAAGTATTATTTAGCATTACATCTTCCTCTATCAAGAAAATATAATGGCAAATTCATTCAAAAGATTAATCAAATTTCAAAACATAACATATAGATGTTAGAGGTAGTCCTTCATTTCATTGAAACCAAAGTTATATTTTCTTTTCCAAATGACATTTTTAAGTGAAAAATAAAAGGGTAGTCCCTCCTCATATTAAAACCAAAAGTAATCCTTTTGTCATTTCTCAAATAAACTCTTGAAGGAAAGTTTTACGTAGAAAAACCTCATGAGGCCTAAAGTTGAAAGACTTAATGATTGGTTTCCTAAATAATGATGAACAATATATCTTTAAATCATGAACCTTAGTTACATTCATCATTTCTTTTATTCGATTAATCTAAGGGTTTTCTAAATTAATCATTGTTTTTAAAATGAGATTAGTGTTAATTGACATAGTTAAATTAACCTTTGAGATGAAGAAAGACCATCTTTCATATATCTCATAAAAAAATTATCTCTTGTTGTCTCACTTGAGCCTTGATGATTTCTTTCATGATAATTCATACTAGGATCACCCTTAACACCAGGAGTAGAATACAAAGTTCATAAATGATTGATGAAACTCTTGAACATTTCTATCAAAAGAACCCAATCAATGATTCTAAAAACTAAAAGGAATGTGAAAGTACACACACACACATATATATGGAAGAGAGCATTCCTATTACAAATTATAAGTCAAGATGAGAGTTTAAATTCAAACAAACAAACAATGAGAGTCGATGTTAGGAAACAAAGTCAATAATCAAAATGATCAAGTTACTATGGCAAGCCTAGAAAAAGAAATTCTCATAAATATCAAGATGAAACAAAAGCCTAACCAATGGATAAAGTGACAAAGTTCGGACGGTATTGCCTAAAGGAACTTTTACAAACAACAAAGTGATCTTATGTCATAAGATCTTTTAAAACAAATTTTAGCCTTTATATATCAAATTTTTTCATAAGCCCAAGCCATAACCTACATTACATGCTTCTACAAGTGCTTTTTGATGAAGGACAACTTACTTATGTTGATGAATTTAAATTTCAAAAGAAAAAAAGAATGAAAAACAAAACGAAAGAAGAAAAAAATGACTAGTTGGTGTGCTATTTTTCCTCTTTATGACATCAAATCATGAGTTTTCTTCAACTAACTTAAGAGTAAGAAAAAGCAGAATCAAGATGTTATTAGGCAAAACTATCCTTCAAAATCTAATTTGTCAAAATACCTTTTGCTTAAGCCTTTCCATTAATCAAATGGGACTTATTATTTGATCAATCTCTTCAATCACATCAAAAATTAGTTTCCATACAAACCTTGTATTACCCAAACATATTTTTCTTGTTTAGCTTAATAGCCCTCTTGAAAGAAATTAGATCATAGCATTTGAATGCTATATTTTAACTTTTGATCAATCAACTTTAACATCTTTATGAATGAAAGTACTTTCATTGAAACATCTCCCTATTTCTTTCAAATGATTTGAATTGTACTCAAAAGAATCATTCAAGTTCATAACTTAATCCATGGAAATCAAATGTTTATTCAATTATCTTTCTCAAAATATGACAAAAATTTCAACACCAATTTACAAATTGTGATGCAAGTATCAAAAGAAGAAATCCAAACACAAACAATGGTTATGCCATAAGAGCGATAAATGCATGATCTCAACTAGTAGTTGGAGGTATCCCACGATCCAATCTAAATAATAATTAGTAAAATTGATAACACTTAGAGGCAAGGCCAATGACCTAACAACTCGTATCGAGTTTAATAATTTGTCAAATAATGACATCATGATGCCAATTAAAGGAACGGAGGCCTAAACAATAAGCTTTTGAGCATTAATCAAAGTAGCCAAAACCATCAAGCTAGAGGGTAAAGAGCGATCCTAAGGAAGGATAATAACTCATAAAAAGTTTGACAAACAATCAAAGTAGTTGGGCATGGTCTTGTTGGGGTAGATCATAATAGGTGGATGGTTATCAACTTTAAAAGTTTAGAATAGTCCATCTACCTTGGTTGGAAAAAGTGAAAAACGCAACCTTCTAAAGAACAATTATCAAGGCCTAAGAGGGTAAAGAAAATTTCAACAATACTACATGATATTATTTAGTATAGAAGTATAGATAGCTAAGAATGAAACACTAAAAGGGGAGTTAAATACTAATAAGGTGAGGTAGCCTACGTTTCTCATAGGCAAAAAAATAACCATTGTAATCAACCTCATCGATACATTTTAGGAATACCATTACAAAAACTAAAAAAAATTCAAAAGTCATAAGATCATGAGGGAATTCATGTTTTTCTAGAATCATCATTTTTTTGCTAATCACTCCCTTAATGAACTTGGTAAAACTACTTGGATATGAATGTTTTTCAATTTAAAGGTTAAAATTCCATTAGAGAGCACAATATGCCTTCCTTTGATCTTAATTAGCATACTCGTGGTACCTTTTCGTAGGTACCACTAATCGAAGCTGAAGCTATATTAGCTACCGCTTAAACATGTTTCTAAGGTAATTAGGGTTTGAGTAGTTCATCTCGAGGACCATCGGATTGGTTGAGTATTATAAGGACCTTCAAGTTTTTAGGAAACTTCTAAGAGAGGCCAAGACCACTTGGAGAAATAAAGGGATCATCGCTCCGATAAGAAGAGTGGATGGAAGGACTTCATTTGGTTACCCAAAATGGCAACAAACTAGAGACAAGAGGTATAGAATTCCACCATTTGAGGGTTCATCACGATTAATGAATGAAACAATTGAGTATGTCTACCAAGAGGTGAATGCTCAACATGAGCTTTACCATGAAAATCTAAACTCCGAGATGGAGGAATTAAAGAAGAAAAAGAAAATGTTAGATGAGAGCCTTAAGGCTAAAGACCATGCGATGCATGCCTTAGAATCGGAAAACAAAGAACTTTGAGGCCGAATTCAACGGACTAAAGGAGTTTTAAGGTAGTTATGAGTAGACCATCAATCACCATATAGGAAGTACGATAACACAATCGATCTCATAACTTCCTTGATTGAGAAACTACCCAATCTCAAGACGAGAAGATGGAACTTGAAGTAGAGATCAACGAGCTCATGACTAAAAGGGTTGATCTTGATGAATTCAAAGATTCCAGTCGAAAACAAATTACAAACCAAGCCGACACAATATGCCATCCGAATACTCACGTGGAGGAACGAAGAGAAAAGATAAGGTTAACTAAGAGATATTAGCTAGGCCTTAGAAAGTGTATGATTTAACCACCCAAACTATGTTGAAGGAAAGAGACATTTTGAAAAGAGAAGTGGCCGAGTAGGAGTCTAGAACCATAGAGTATCACCTATAGGCTTAGGATGCCAAAAATTACGTCATGCGGATAAGGCCTACCATCGAACACTTAGCTAACAACATATGTCATATTGATGAGAAAATCTAACTTTTCTACGAGAGGCTCGGGAAGCTTGTAGTGGGAGCTACTTCCTACGAGGGTTTAAGGTTATGGTAGAATATAGAGTAGGAATCTCCATGGAATAAGGCTTTTTATAATCATAATTTTTTATTTTTGAAAAATGGCTCTAAGTCACATTTAGAATTTACTAGACCTTCGTATTTATGTTGTTGTAATAGCTATGCTCTTTAATTTTCAATCCATGTAATAGGAGACAAGTTGCACTTTATTTTTCTTAAATGAAAAATGGCTCTAAGTCACATTCAAAATATGTTAGAAGTCCAAATTCTAAATTTCTTCAATATTGCCTACCATGGCTTAATCTCTTCAACATATCACAAGATTCGCCCATGCTCAAGTTATGAACAAAATGGGATAGATATATCTCATGTTTTGTCCAAGTATTTGTGAGGCTATACCTTCAACGAGTACTAAATTTAATCTAGCTTGTCTTTGATGTGAACTCTATCATGATTTAGTGTGCAAATGACAAAGAAACATATCCAACCCAATTCACATCATACATGTATATACTGTATATTCACTCTACATATCTCTTTGAGTTGTTTTACCGAAATCAAAATATAGGCAGTTTTGCAAAAGCTCAACTCCCTCTTCACATCGACGACACCCAACTCAAACATCGACAAATGGAAAATGAGATAGAGTATAGTTGGAATAGACTCACCAACAGGAGTTTGAATTCATAAAAGGAAACATCGCCCACTTGAGCAGCCAGCATAGAAAGGCTCTAAATGGGGAAAATGATCCAAATCAAGGACATGCTCATAATGAGATGCGGTATGCACTTCCAACACCCAACTTGCAGCCTAGACCATCCACTGCACCACCCAACAACCCGAGGCCAACAGCATTTCACGCCGAGACTTCTTATCCTACATTGGTGTGCGCTCGCGCACTATGTATATGCATGCTTGCGGGTGCGCTCCCGCGCTATCAATCTTACACCGGTCACTGATATTGATATTAAACTTGCTGATTGCCAGTCTTGAATGGTACTGGTACTTGAACGTTGCGTGATCCACATTTTGAAGCTTGACTGTCTATAAATGATTCATATTTGACATATTAGCCCTTGTTCAGGCAAACCTCTCTTGAATGTTTATTGGTATATTTTTATCAAAATGCCCCCAGTAAAAGATATTGGATGTTCTACGTCATTGATCATGTGTTACTTAGTTGATTACTTTATTTATATTATTCTTTATTCTGGAGTTGCTTCTCCCATATATAAAGGGATCTCTATAGCCTCGAATTATTTCCTTGTTCCTTGCCCATTGGTTCTTAGCAATATACACATTCGGTGATTTTTGTTGAGTTAATTTTGGAAATATAATGGGTTTGGAACCAGAGAATCTTGAATCTTCTATCCCAGTTCCAAATGTACAGGAGCTTGTAAGCCAACAGCTTGAGACCGTGCCGTCTAGATACATAAGAGATGACATGGACACCATCATCACCACTGTTCCCTCCGATCTCTCTCTTCGTGTGCCGTTGATTGATATGACCAAGCTGGTCAATTCGGAGTCTCAAGATACAGAGCTTCAAAAGCTTCATGCTGCATGCAAGGACTGGGGAATATTTCAGGTAATACCAAATGATCATCAGTACATTAATTTGTTTATATATATTGAACATGTAAATATTAAAGCATGTTGCATTTTATAGATTTTAATTTTTTTTTTTTAATTCTTAGGAAGTCTTTTTTTTTTTTCAAAAAAAAAAAAAACCCCGTAAACTAGTAAACAGTCATCAGCCATATTTGATATACATGTCGAGAATCTGCTTTACACTTCCTTTCAAGAATACCTTTTCGCACCTCAAACCAATATATTTTTAGCGAAAGTACAAAAAACTACACAGAAGTAAAACGAATTTTGAATTGGACCTTTATTTTCTGTTTCAATCCAATACACCATCACCTCATTTTGTTTCTTTGGCTTGTTGTAATCCAAACTTGATTTTTTTGACTGAAGAGTAGTGCACATATTGAGTTCGTTATCATGTGAACGGTCTTAATGTGGTAGATCTTCTTTTTTTTTTTTTTTTTGCCTCATTGAGAATCCAAAGGATTTTAGAGTAAACCCTAAGGATCCGAGGCGAGACATACCTCTAAGAAATTAGCTAGGAACTCTTAATAATATATATATATATATATATATATATATATATATATATATTAGCTAGGACTCTTAATACTATATATAGATATATTAAATTTTATTGAAAATAATTGTGCGGTCATGAATATGAAAATAAAATTAATATGAAAAATGTGTTTACCATTAAGCTACATTGTCGAGATATATATATATATATATATTATTAAAAATAGTTGTGCGGTCATGACTATGACAATAAAATTAATATGAAAAATGTGTTTGCTATTAAGCTCCATTGTTAAAATTATTACTATGAGATTGCAAATAATCTGCCTTAAGAAATAACTGCTCTTTGCACGCTTAAATATTTATGTCACCTCTATTAACAAGTTGCATATATAACAACTTGTTAATAATATTTTGGTGTGCAAAAGTCACTGCGAGTGACGTCTGCAGTGCTGATCATATCAGCAATTTCGATAGGAAATGGTCAAAGTTTGGTTTGTTTTAGCATTCAAGCCGTTGTTATTATTACCCCATTTATAAACGGAGAAAGCTGAAACATGACAAAATTAATTTTAGCTTGGAGTTGTCATTAGCAACTAATTAACTAGCTGGATTTCAATATGCTAACCTTGCTTACCATTCAAAGAAGAAAAACGGTATATGAATCTAGCTTGTGCTTGAAGTCTTCAAAGTGGTTGATCTTATAGGGGTTACGTAATTATTTATTAAGTGATTGCATTAAATATAAGATCAACACTGAATGCAAATCTCTCATTTTCAATAGTCAAACAAGTAACGCGAACAAAATAGTTAGTTTAAGCTGCTAGAGATTTGACTTAGTTGAATCTTGAACTACAAAATGCGTGTAGTTATACATGAACCTAACAAATTAATATAGTACCATATCAAATAATTTTTTTTTTTTTATATAAAAACTGAAATGATAGTTTGTAATCCATTATTTCTATGGGAATGCTAAAGAAAGAAGGTAACCTAGCTTACCATAGCCAAAATTAGTATCTTAAACTCACCAAACATTTAATTATTGAGTTAATGTTTGTAGGGATCCTTCTATTACTGATTTCGTTTTTAAAATGTCTCTCTTTTTTTTTTCTTTTTTTTTTGTCTTAATAGCATCTCTCATAATTTATTTATTTATTTTTTCATTATTATGTACTTTTGTTAATGTTTTGGGCCAATAATGTAAATCTTATCGTTAGTTTTATAGGATTGACACATGTGTCAAATAATTTTACTTTTTATCGAGTGAAAATAAATAAATTTTAGAAAAGAAAAAAAAAGAGCTATATAAATAGTCAAAACCCCCCAAATTCTCTCCTTTTGAGTCCAAATAAATGAATTTTGGAAAAGGAAAAAAAAACTAAAAAGTGAATAATTTTTTTTAAAAAAAAATTCATTTATTTCTATTCTGTAAAAATAAAAGAAGATTACTAGACATGTGTAACAATCATCTGAACTTAACGGTAAATTTTAATGTTATTAGTACAAAACATTAACATAATGATATAATAATGATAAAAGCCAAAAGTCAAGGGATAAGATTAAGACAAAAAATAATAGATGGGCTTTTTAAAGACGAAATTAAGAGTGCAAGGGCTCAAGCAAGCTTTAACCGTACAATTATCAGCAATATCCAAAAGGTTTCCTTCAAGTCATATAGTTTGCGTTTCACTAATTTTGATGTAATCTCAGCCTATCTTAAATAAATGTGTAACGAAAAGGACAATTGACTCTACTGAGGTTTTAAAAATACGAAAGTGATATCCATCAATTTGTATCAAATTTTGTTCATCATTTGCACCAATCCTCCATTTGCAATAAGTAAATTTGATTTTACCATTTAAAGAACACAACCAAAAAATAAAAAATAAATATAGCTTGATTAATTGAAAAAAAAAAACTAACTAGATTGAACTCTCAATCAACGGAGGATCAGTAAGTAGATGTGATTTACAGGCTGCAATTAGTCCTTTATTTTTTCTGGTTGTGATTAACTGGTCCTTGGGGTACTGTTGATTAATTTGGTGTCTATTCGGTTGTTTTATTGGGGTCTTCTCGCTTGTAATGGGTGCTAATTTCTTTCATTCATTTATTTTTGAAAGAACTACCTGAAATGATACAGTTTTGCAGTTAATAAACCATGGAGTTTCAGATGAATCGCTAAGAAACATGAACAAGCAAACTCAAGAGTTCTTTGACCTTCCTTTAAGAGAGAAGAAACGCTGGGCACAGAAACCAGGAAGCCTGGAAGGCTATGGTCAAGCATTTGTAACCTCAGCAGAACAAAAGCTTGAATGGAATGACATGATTTTCCTCAAAGCTCTTCCCATTGAAAACAGAACACTTGAACTCTGGCCCGAAAACCCTCCAAAATTCAGGTACTAGTAACAAGTTAGCATCAGTAAGTTAAAGCATGTATAAGCTAGCTAACTCGATTGACATTTTTACTGTCATTAATTAAAATAACAAATTACATTTTGTCTGTTAGGGAATCCTTGGACAGGTATTCTCAAGATATGAGGCAAATTGCAGTTGCCTTGACAAGATTCATGGCCATGGGGCTTGAGATTGAGAGTCAAGAACTCTATGAGGCATTTCAAGGACTTTATCAAATAAGGATGAATTACTATCCACCTTGTCCTCAACCTGAAAGAGTTATGGGGTTAACTCCACATGTTGACATCCCTGCATTTGCTCTCTTGCTTGATTGTGGCGACAAACCAGGATTGCAGGTTCTAAAGGATAGTCATTGGGTCTTTGTTGAGCCTTTAGATGGTGCCATTGTTGTAAACATGGGCCAGATCACAGAGGTAATTAAGTGTTTATCATAATTTTAGCGACAATAAGTAAGAGATGTACATTAATTCACTAATAAAATCATGCAGATAATGAGCAATGGGCTATACAAAGCGCCCGAGCATAGAGCAGTGGTAAACAAATCAAAGGAGAGACGATCAGTAGTTACCTTCTGCTATCCGAACTTGTCTTTCAAAGTTGGTCCTGCAAAAGAGCAAATAAACTCAGGAAGTCTACCTCTATACAAGACTGTCACTGTGGAAGAGTATTTCCAACGCTTCATTAATCGAAAACTTGAGGTTCCGTTCATGGATACCATGAAAATCTAATAGCCAGCATAGATAGGATAGTGTGGTTTAAATAAATAAGTTGCCCTACAAATAAGTGATTCCTTGTACCTTATTTGTTGAACAATATTATTACCAGTGCCAAAGACTGATATAAGACCGCAAAATAATAATAATAATAAATAAATAAATAATACCAATGCTACAACCAGGATTCAACTCCCTAACAAATTACAATGCAATAAGAAAATTTGTATTAATTATTATTATTATTATTTTGGTGCTATAGAGTTAGATATTAATGTTTAGATCCTAAAACCAATAGACTCTATATTATAGGTCATGTCCGCTTTGTAGAAATATCTACAAAGAAATTTCATTTTCAAAAATAAGCGCTTCGGATTTTAAAGCAAACCAAACATCACAACCAACTCCTTCGCCTAGTTTTCCCGTCACCATAAACTCTACTTTTCCACCTTTAAAGCAGCATTACTTGGTCTCCAGTCCATGACAAACAACAAATCAGTCTAGCTCAACCCATCCCCTGCCCAGATCAACATCCATGATCCAAAACCCACGCAGCTCTTCCAGCTCCCCAGCCTTGATCCGCAGCCCACCAAGCCCGTCCAGCTTACCCAACTAGATCCCAACCAATCTATCCAGTTCACCTGGCGTGACCTAAAGCCCACAAAGGCCGTTCAGCGCACTCAAAGTGATCCACAGCCTACAAAGTCTTCCAGCAGCTACAAAGTTAGTCTCCTTCCCAAGTACTCGTAATCACAGCTGCTCCTCAAAGCCTCCACAGTCCTCTCTCACATCAAACTAATAAAGGGTTAAACTTGATCCTTGATTTTAGTGATTATGAATTGGCGGCAAAATAGGTTAGTACTCATCGTTCCACCCCATAGGCAACCTGATCCCATTACATGGTTCTAAGACATATGACAGCATTCTCAACCGCAAGCTTCACTAGCAATCACTACCAACGCACCTCTAGAATCACCATCCTGCTATTCCGAAGCCTGTAAACACTTGGCTTGGAGATCGGCTATGGCTGCTGAGGTTATTGCTCTTCTAAAAACTTGTAAGTGGTCTTTAGGGCCTTCTTCCCTAAACATTGTTGGCAGTAAATGGGTTTCAAAATAAAATGGAAAGTCAACGACAGCCTTGAGAGATACAAAGCCAGGTTAGTGGCTAAAGCTTTTCACCAACATGAGGGGGAGATTATGGAGAAACTTTTAGTCCCACCATCAAGCCAGTCTCCATTCAGTGTGTGATCACTTTGGCAGTAAACAATGGCTGACAAGTCAGGCAATTAGATGTGCACAATATTTTCTTGAATTGCACTCTGACCGAAGAAGTCTATATGTCTCATCCTGTTGGCTTTGTTGGTGATATATTCCCTAACTATGTTTGCAAACTCCACAAATCCATTTATGGATTGAAACAATCACCACAAGCTTGGTTCTCCTGTCTTCAAGATTTTTGGTAAATTTTGAATTTATGGTATCAAAAATAGATTATTCATTATTTATTTATACCACCTTCCTTCTGGTATGTGAGGGTGACATTCATCATATAGGTAATAATGATCAATCCATCTTGTTCGTGGCTAATACCCTAAACTCACGGTTTGCAATCAGCGATCTTGGAGAGCTTAGTTTTTTATTTTTTTTAGGTATTGATGTGACTAAAACTTCGTAGGGTCTACTATTGTCTTAAAAGAAATGCATTATTGACCTTCTTGTTAAGTAGGGAATGCTATCATGTCGTCTAGTATCCATTCCTATGCTAACAACTTCTAAATTAACAAAGGAATTAAGAGATGCTTTTCCAATGCCATACTCTATCAGCAAGTCGTGGGTGCCTTATAATATGTGACTCTTACTTCATCTGAAATTGCCTATATGGTTAAAAATATTTGTCAATTCATGTACAGTCCAAAGATGGACCATTAGGTTGTTGTGAAAAGAATACTACGGTATCTTAACTATGTATCTTAACTATACGACTAATTATTGTTTGCATATCTACAAGTCCACTCCTATCCTCCTTGGTTTTTTAAACTCTTGTCATACTTGTCACAACCCCAGGAGTGAGCCATGATAGGCGCGAGAGTCGAGGGGATTGTGAGGCCCACCTCAATCGGAAAAAGCCTCGAATACTAAACTAAACCTCAAATCATGATCGGATTTATACTATAGTCCTCGGATCAATATCACTTAAATCATCATTCCAATTAATATTATCATAACTTAAATAACATTTCTTTTACAACCTCAATATAGTTTATATTTCAATATCCAAAATCAATATTCATAATTTCATATTCATAATCAACTCCTAATACATTATCTACAACTGTACTCGTAGAGCATCTAAGATTATAATTTTAAAGAAATATAGGTTCTAAGGAATTACAATTAAAGTGAATTACACAACCAAAGTGCCAACTTTGGATCAAGTAACCAAAAGAAAGCAATGAGCAATCCCTTAATATCCTACAAGACTAAAATAATGAGGGCTAAGTAATCAATGGCTTAATGAGTAGACATTATCTAATATACAAAAGGAGGAAAACGGACTATGAATGATCTCAAATCCATGTCAAAATGCAATGCTTATTTCTCAAAACATATATATGTCAAAAGCACACCTCACATCACAAATCAAATGGTTCGGACCATTTCATATCAAATCATCAAAATATTCATGCATAAATATATCATACTCATATGAAAACATGTATATAGGTTTTCATACACCCATGTGGTAATAATGTATCATTAGGTGCGAACACCAAAGGTCATGCTTGTTGTGACTAGGTTTTCATATATTGGCCGACATACGCTCTAGCACTATACCTCTCCCGCTAGATGGAGCCTCATATCATTGAGCCTAAAGGCTATCCCCTGGACACTAGGTTCCTCAAGGTCTCGAAAACATTTTTGAGAACCAAACATGTTTATTAACTTTCAAATCAATATTTCAAATACCTTGCATGCAATTTCAAAAATTATATGGATAATTAAAATAACATTTATAGCACATATCAAACTCCTTTTTAGTTTATATAAAATCATTTGATACAAAAACATTTCAACATTCATGATGTTCATTCTCATTTACATTCCAATGAAATGCTTTTAAATCATTCTTAAACTATGATGCATGATCAATAAATCAAGAAATTTAAAATACAATACATTAGATAATATCCTCTCATAATATGATTGAAAAACCAAATGAAAAATGAGACGGTTGGGATGGAGTCACTCACTTTAAAGAATCTAGCATCATAAAATGATGGATCATCCATTAATATCACTTAAAAAGGAATAATCCAAACAATGAATTATTCTAAAATTAGATATACAAGATTAACAAATAAAAATAGAATTTATTGGAAAGACTTGGTTTGATAATCTAACTAAATCCTATGATCCCTCAATTGATTCTAATTAATCATTTAATCACATTCCATTATCAATCTTTAACTCATTCCTTAAACAATCAACCTCTAATAAATCAATCCTTAATTTGATTAAATGATTAATTATATTCTAATTCATCCAATAATCACTCCATCCATCTTAATTATATTTTTTATAACTTAATTCCTCATTTTCTCTAAAATTCCTTCCAATTGAAACCTAAATTCGGATTTTTCACTATTAATCATCTTCGACTTCTCAATTTCTCAAATTCACTTTATTTTATTTCAAATTAATTTCATTCATCACTTGCCCAAGACAATTACACATCATTCGAGCTATCATAATCACTTAAGATCAGCTTTTCCCAAATAGGTCTTAAAACTCTAACCTTAACCTAAGCAATTCCTTAAGTAATCAACTAACCCAAAGCAATTGCATTTCAATATCATCATTAACCACACGTAAATTTCATAATTTAAAGATCAATGGATCAAAAATCTTACCTTTACATTGTGCTCTTCAAATCCCAAATCCTTCCTAGCACTCCAAGCTTTCCAAGCTCCAAGCTAGCTATACTCCTCTTAAACCAACTAATTTATGTTTTCCCTAAACTAATTTATGTTTTCCCTAAACTAATTTAACAATGAATTAGCTTAGGAATTAAAATAAAAAAAGGGAGGAGTTTCAGGAAAGTAACACGTGAGAGAAGGAGAGAAAAGAGGGGGAAAATCAGGAAAAAGGGGCAGTTACTACTCCTTTTATACCAACCTCTTTTTTTTTTTTAATTCGACTTATTACAATACCCTAATTTTTATCCATTTTTCTTTATTTTAGTTTTTTTTTTTTTTTTTAGGTTCATGTTTGCTTGATTAAAAGTAAAAACAAAAATCAATAAAAAAAATTAATTAATTTAGGAAATTAGGTAAAAAAGAACAAAAAAGAATTTTTATTTATTATTTGTAATTTTATACAAAATACAAAAAAAAAAAAAAAAAATAGTGATGGAGGTATGTTTCTGGTGAATGGGGAGCTGATTATGGTGGAGGGGTGAAAGTTGGGCTTTTTCAGCTCTCCAATTTTTCAGCACTGCTACGCAATTGGCTCAATCCATTTGGTGGCGGGTTCTACATTTTGTGGCACTGTTACGCAATTGGGACTGGTAGCTAGCCACGGTGATTTACAGAGAGTTGAGAGAAGAGGACGATACAATTTTTTAGTTTTTATATATCCATTATTTTTTTTGGTTTCTTTACTTTTGAAAAAAGTTATATTAATAAAAACATTTTTATTTTTTTTTTCAAACAACAAAACTTTAATCTAGAACCCATTGAGCCACGTCTCACTAAATAATGGATGGTCGTTAACAGCAATCACGTGTGACAAATAGTTTACAGCGTTACAATAGAGCTGCAATACAAGATTTGAATCACTAAATTTCAAAAAAAAAAAAAAAAACAAATCAGGAAAAGAGAACCATTTCACAATGTTTTCAACCATAGAAAGGAGCAGAGGATTATACCAAACACATTTATACAATAAGTTAAAAATATTTTTAGGACGTACATTATTCAATACATAATTGTTTTTGAAACAGAGATGATAATT